CTTTCAGAATGGTAAAATTGAAAAGATGCATTAAAATAGAGGAAAGAAGAAATGGTAGGGCTGGCCGTTGGATGTCAGCACAGAAAGCAACTGGGCAGGAGGTGACATTTCAACTGCTCTATTCGTCGTTACACTGAAAGAAAATATCATACTTTTCATTTTTTAATGTCCAAAAACATTTGTTATGTTAGAAAATTCAAAGAACAGTATCTTTTTTTAATATAATGTTTCTTTCTAATTATATGTAAGAGAAAAATTAGAAAGAGAAGTACAAATATCACAAGTAAACCACTATTCTTAAAAAGTTGGATTTCCAAAACATAACTAAATAATTGGGACGGAGAGGGAGTATTATTGTTCGTCTTATTATTTTTTTGGTAAAATTTCAGAAACTTTCTCTAAGGTTTTTGACAATTTCATTTGCCTCCCTTTAACTTCTGAAAATCTCAAATATCTCCCCTAATAGGGAATTGGGATCAATTGCTAATATAATGTGTGGCAAAATGACTATTATATCCTAAGTATTTAGTGAGATTAATTAAACAATACCTACAAAAATCGCTATTGGACTATATTTGAAGAAAAAAAATAAAAATTTGGCCATTTGTCTTTAGCAAGTTGGTGTGAATTTCTCCTCCAAATCTAGATGGCACACTTTTCTAATAGTAATTACGTACTATTAAAAAAGTGTGCTATATCATTTAATTTTTTAAAAGTTTTTAATGTTGGCCTTTATATTTTGTTGAGTTGCTTTGCAAATTTAGAATTTAGTTAGTCAAATCATCTAAAATTTGCTAATGCATTTGCTACATATTTTTGAAAATTACCTCCAGACTTTTGATTTTTTTTGCCTAGTTTTAATCCATTTAATAGTTTCTCAAAACAATCGTTGTAACAATTGGTAAGGGCATTTTTTATGCCAATTTACGTTCTCTCTCCAACAATTATTTTCCTATTCTACCTTTTTTTGATTTGGGATTACATGTTACACAAAAGTTTCAAATAAGAGAGCTAAATGAAAATTTCAAAATTTGAGAGGAACTGAGTGAAATTGTCAAAAACCTCAAGGGAGGATTTTGAAATTATCCCTACTTTTTTTTTGGTAAGAACATTTCAACTATTATCACTCATAAACTTTTTCGTGCTTTTTATGTTGGTACACATATTTTGTCCTCCATTAGACTCATGAATGCTCTAAGCATTATGATGTTTTCTTTTCTAAGATATGCTGGCCTATGTGTTATACTCCGTTAGTTAAAATTTTTACTTAATGTCATGATACACTATTGACTGTTATGAGATGAAACAGAAAAGAAAGTGAAGCATTCAGTTTTGTTAGCCATCTAAAAATGCAACGAAAGATAGTTGACACATATAAAGAATATGTGGGAAAAAGTAGTTTATTATTGTACCAACAAAAAAGCATGTCCAATTCTTATATTTCAGTATTGTTCTATGCTTGATGCAAACTAATACTCAGCAAAAAGTATTGTTCTGTATTTAATGCAAACTAAAGCAGCATTGATTTGATATTGTGTTCCCAATAAATGTACATTGCAAAATGAGTGCATCCATGTATAGGTAATGTAACTTTGGTATAATGTTCCTAACACAACACCAATGTGTCTCTGTCTAGGGGTGGCAATGGGGCGGGGGACACCTCGCCCCGTCCCCCGTCCCGCTCCGCTTCCCTCGCAGGGCACCACGGGAAAATATTAAAATTAAATTTTATTATGTAATTTCATTATAATTAAATTTGAACAAATAATTAAGTACTAAAATATTAACACATCACCAAATTATTATTCATTATAATTTTACAATTGAAACTCATAAAAATAATTAAACAAAGGTTATTTGAATACAATCTAATATGATAAAAGAAATATAACTAAAATAACCAAGTTTTCACTTTTGATACAAATACAATCACTAAATTATTATTGTATTTTTTTTTTGAAAAAAATGTTATTGTATTAAGTGTAGTTAAGAATTTAACATAAATATATTAATAAAGTTAGTATAAATAATTAATAATTTTTATTAATAGACATGTATAATTAATAGTATAATTGAAAATATCAATATATATATAATTATGTACATATATATATATATATTTTCAAATGCCCGTTTCTAAACGGGGAGAAAAAATTCCCCCCGCCCACGCTCCAATGACCCCCCGTGGGGAGGGTGCCCGCCTCCGTCCCCATCCCCATCCCCAGACTCGGTCCACATCTCAAAGTCTAGGAAGAAATTATGATCATAAGAAAGCTCGAAAACGCAAATAATGGTTTAAGAAGAATATATCCACGGAAGAGATTTCACTAGCAACTGATTTAAATTGCAAGACGAATGTGATTGCTACATTTCGTTCATGTATTCAACACTGTTACATTTCGGGTCTGAATTTGGACAGACCACAGATATTTTTGACGTTTTTTCTTTTCATATTCGTCTCACTATTTTTCTCTTATGTATTGAAGGACTTGTGCATATTCTTCTTCTCAATCATTATCGTTTGGATTGTTATTTTTAAAAATTTTTATAAAAATATATATTATGATGATTTGATATATATATATATATATAATTAAAAATACATTTCCAAAAAATATAAAAAATTTTCCGTAAAAAATCACGATCCAAACAAGGCAATACAGTCTTACTTTCAAGAAACTGGCACAGTACCCAAAACACCGAGAAGATAGAGCATGCGATGCATGTATTGGTGGATGCGTTGCCATCTGAAAAGGAATCTAAAAAATAGGCAGACTCATTCCATTACCTATTGAGTATATAGTAGCGAGTGATTCTGTAATTCCTCATTCCACACAATATTTAATAAAATCACCATGGAAACCACAAAACAGGAAGAAGCTCGTCATCTTCAACCTCACATCATCATACTTCCAGGTCCAGGACTGGGTCACCTCATTCCCTTCACTGAGCTCGCCAAACAAACGTCTTGCCTTACACCATAACTTCTCCATAACCTTCATAATCCCCACCGACGGTTCTCCTACCAATGCCTAGAAGGCCTTCCTTGAATTCCTAGCATCAACTCCATCTTTCTTCCTCCGGTAAACATCCATGACCTCACAGAAGACACTCCTGTTGAAGTCCGCATTTCACTGACCGTAAACCGCTCGCTCCCGTCCCCCCGCCGCGCGTTAGTTGGAACTAATTTCTCAATTGGGTCATCATCATGTAGTTGTACTCGTATTTGTGCATTGGTTGTTGATCTTTTTAGTCTTTCAGCAATTGATGTGGCAAAAGAATTTGGCATCCCATCTTATGTATTCTATCCCACCACAGCTACGTGCTTCTCCTTGGTCTTGCATATGCCGGAGCTGGATAAAATTTACCCCGGCGAATATAGGGACTTGCCTGAACCAATCGAGTTACCCGGGTGTTTCCTGTTGCACGGGAAGGACTTCATGGACCCGGTTCAAGATAGGAAGGGTAAGGCCTACAAAAGGTTGCTGCAGATACGCGACCGCTACAATTCAGCACAAGGGATATTGATTAATAGTTTTATGGACTTGGAACCGGTTCCAATTCGGGCTCTGAAGGTAGGTAGAGTATTGTCCTTGAAACCACCGGTTTATCCGGTTGGACCGTTGGTTCAAGGCAGCGGTATAATATATTAATATGATTAATATCATCACGCGGAATACACGAATCTGAATCGCCAGGATATTGTCTGATGAGCAGCCGGAGGGGTCGGTTTTGTTTGTTTCGTTTGGGAGCGGGGGAACGTTGTCTCAGAAGTAGTTGAATGAATTGACTTTTGGACTGGAAATGAGTGAAGAGAGATTTCTTTGGGCTGTTAGAAGCCCAAATGAATTCGCAGCCTTTTTTGGTGTCGAAAGCGTGGAAAGCCTGTCGATGTTCTTCCCGAGGGGTTTTCAGAGAGGACTAAAGAGAAGGGTCTTGTGGTAGCCTCATGGGCTCCTCAAATTCAAGTCCTCAGCCATGGTGCAACTGGGGGTTTTCTTACTCATTGTGGGTGGAACTCAGTTCTGGAGAGCATAGTGCATGGGGTGCCTTTGATTGCATGGCCACTTTTATGCTGAGCAACAGATGAATGCTGTATTGTTAACTGAAGATTGGAAGGTTGCCTTGAGGGTTAAGGTGGATGAAAATGGACTGGTGGGGAAAGAAGAAGTTGCAAGATTGGCAAAAGGCCTAATTGGAGGAGAAGAAGGAAAAGGACTTGGGCTCAAGATGAAAGATCTTAAAGGTGCAGCTGCAAGGGCTTTGAGAGAGGATGGATCATCGGTTAAGGCACTTGCTGAAGTGGCTCATCGATGGAGTTCCTTTAACGTGCAAAAGTAAAATTCTTCTACATCACAGTCCACCACCAACTCTGAAATTTTGTCCAGGGTGACTTATAAATCAACGGTTTCCATGTTTCTTTTACAAGAAAAAAAGGAGCTCCATTGAGGAATCGAGCTTGTTTTAACTCTTGAAAAGATGAGCTGGATTAAGGAATTAAGCTTGTTTTAATGTAGCATCACTTCAAGACTTACACTTGAGGTCCGTTTGATAAAACTGAAATCTGAAAAATAAAATTGGAATCCATTAAATTATTAAATTGTTAAGTTATTAAATCAAATACATTTAAATGTATATCATATTTAGTAATAAGTAAATAGTTTATCATTTATTTTTGAGAGTAAATTTTACCACTTAATTAATTCATATATTCAATTTTTTATTTTCAAACGCGTTTGAACATATTAAGAACTGAATTCATTAATTTTAAGTATTGAATTAGATTATCAAACAAAACCTTGATCACTCCCAAACTTTTGAATATTAATCAAGCTAAGTATTCAGCCCACAGCATTCTCCTTCAAAGGAGTATTTGCATCCTCCTAAAATGCCGAAAAGAGCAGAGAGAGCCCTTAGTCACTGGGCCCGTTAGAGAGACAGAATTAAAAGCAGCCCAACCCAGGGCCATATGAGTAATCTTCAATCATAGCATGTAAACCAATTACCTAGTAGAGAACATTAAAATTTTCAAATGAACCCAAAAACCTAAAACCCTAGAGAAAAATCTGAGAAAGGGGTTTAGGATCAGCAGATGGAGGAGACACTACTGACACTGGATCAGGATACTACTTGTACAGCTTGGAATTATAGTGGGCAGAGACTAGCTGCTGGCTCCATCAATGGGACATTAGCCATTTACGATTCAAAGGATCCAGCTTCTTCATCCTTCACCTGCACTTCCAGATTTAAGGTGCGTCACAAAAATTTACTGCACCCATTTCTTGCCTTTCTTCTTTTTGCCTTTTTTAATGTGCAATTTGCTAGTTGCTGCTATAAATGCAGTGGGCTTTAAATTGTTAAGTTAATAATCATCTTTTCTTGAAGATTTTGTTGGGTTTTGTTTAATTTGTGAAAAGGATATAGATTTTAGTGACAAAAACTTATTCGAAAACTTACTCGTTGAGCAGGGTTTTCTGTGTTGAGAAAGTAACATTTCTGGGTGTAGTTCTTCTTATCACTGCTCTGAGGCAATAAAGAAAAATAAAAGGAACTTTCACTGTAGTGGAAATGCTTCATTTTCTAAAGTTGTAGCTTTGGAGTTGATGTTTCTGTGAACTTAAACACTCAAATTAGTTGTTTGTTCTTTATATGGTCAACTGCTGTATTCTGATGTTGCATTTGTCTGAGATCCAAATTCCAAACATGATGCAATTTCTTATGCAAATTAGGTGCAAGAAACAAGCATTCTGAAAATTGTCTGGGTTCCCCCAGAGTTTGGAGACGCAGTTGCCTGCATTTGCTCTGATGGAAGTTATTCATTGTGGGAAGAAGTTGTGGAAGGTACTTATTGAGTTTAATACACGGTGTTTATCCTTGAAGTTATAGTCCTAAATGAAAATTGTTACCACAATCTTTTGAAATGCTGGGCTTGTTTAGTAGGACCAATCAGTGCATCAAATGTTTAATCTTAGACCATGTAACCTGACTCTCATCATTCTATTCGTTTGGTAATTCTTTAGATGCTGATATTCTCCAGTGGAAGCTGTGCAAACGCTTTGACAGGAACTCAAGTCGAGTTTTAGACATTCAATTTGGAGTCTTTGCCACATGTTTGAAATTGGTAAGTTTTGGACTTAGTTGTTGACGACTTCAATCTCATTATGCCTGTCATGTCATGAACAATTGACAAGGGCTTATAGCAAAAGGAAGAACTAAAAGTTCTGCATTTCTTCAACCACCAAAATCTAATAGTCTGCAGAGTATTACATTGTAATTATATTGAAGAAGGCCCGGTAACATCTTTTCTCATTATTTGTACTTTCTGATGCATGTGTGATCAATGGGGAAATTACTGATAGAATTATCTCTTAGATATATTGTCTATTACTGTATCAATGTGTTGAAGAAGTTACTCTGTATTTTTTTGCCGCATTGATTCCTCATGCTATGTTTTACCTAGTCTTTGAAGCTTGAATAATCCAGCATGCCTGATATAACACTCTTAAGCCTTGTTTGCAGTGACACTGTATATTGTACTTGAAAAAATTGAGAAACTGTTTCTGGATATTTAATAACCATTGCTACTCTACATTGAAATTTCTAGTAGTGGGGCAATGGGAATTACAAATTCCAATTTCTGAGCCGAAATAACTTGTAAGGTTTTTCTATTTTTCTGCATCACTATGTGCCTCGTAAGTGGCCCCCTTCTTTGTTTTTTGGTTCTGCATCAGTGTGTGGCTTTTAAGTGGCCCCCTTCTTTTTGGGTTTTATTTGTTGTTGAAGGAAAAACTCCAATTAGCCAATGAGTGAATGCTTTGTTGTTCACTTAATGGTACTTAAAAGTAAGTTTATAGGGTTATGAACACAGGCTACATATGTTGAGTGCTTTTTCTACTCTATATTAAGTCATTATTCTGTAGGTTGTTGTTCAAAAATTTGTAGTGCCTGTTAAGGTTGCATTGCTTTTTTGTGTACATATGGAAGAAAAGACTTGTTATCCTTCCATTCACTACACAAAGCTTCTTTTATGAATATTGATAATAAATGTTCCTGATAAAGTTGTGTTAGTCATGTGTACATCTCGAAGGAAAGAAGGGTAGCTTCTGAAAGTGAGATGCTACCTGATACAATCTTCCTATAGTAAAACCTCTGTAATTGTCTACTTGCAGCACTCAACAAGTAGAGTTCTTGTACGCTCAATTCTGAGGTACAGGGTGTATATGCACCAGTTTAATGACAATGCAGTGTTGTTTCTGCTGTATATACATCTGTGGCTGGCTTCCTATTTCTCATTAAGGAACCTTTGGATGATTTTTGTGACTTTCAATGGACTTAATTAATCACCAAAAGGAAATGGGCTAATAGTAGAACTCCTGATGCGATGCTCTGATGTATATTTAGGCAAAATTTTTCTAACAGGATGAGGGAATCATTCAGCCCTGCCCTATTGAATGAATAAGGAGAGACATATTCCATGACTCTGCCATTCTTATGCTACTCATTCTTTACTCCCCCTGTATCTTCTTAAAGGAGTTTTTGCAAGAAAGAGTTGACTTTTGCCCCCCTCCTGGAGTTCAAAACATTTACAGTTCTGCTAATCTCCATTCTTATCTTATGATTGAACTGCTCTGGCTTAGCTAATATAACTAATTTAAATTTGAGTTTTTTTTTTCGTTCCTGCTGTTATTTATTCCATATGTGCAACAAGCTGCTTAATTATGTCACTTTTGTGTCTTTTCCAGGTTGCTGCATACTCAGATGGCCAAGTGAAAATCTTTGATCTCCTTGATCCCCTGGATTTGATAAATTGGCAACTTCAGGTGGTTGTTCTATATCACTTAATTACTTTATATTACTGCAAACTAGTCACAGCAAGTATTGCTGCGATTTCTGTCATCTTCGGAGTTCCAAGGCTTTTGTGTCTTATAGCAATTGTTCTCCTTTTTCCCTTTATTCTCTCTTTCCTTGTTTTTTTTTAATAATATTCATGGTTCAAGTATTGAGTAGATTTCCCCTGCCCGCTGCACCTTCAGATCCTAATACTTGTATGTGCTGGAAGACTTTTAATATTCACATTAACAAACATGATATTTTGATCTTTTGAGAATGGTGGATCTGAATATTGTCCTTGTAGGCTGAATTTCAGAATGTCATTGAATCTACATCCAAATTTGGTAGACCTTCGTGCTTGTCTGCAGCAATGTGTTGGAATCCTCAAAGGGGTGAACTCCAGCAGTCAAGCTTTGTTTTGGGTTTCAATTCAGATATTCCGCAACTCAATTCCTCTAAGGTATTACAGATTCTTTCTTCCTTCTTTCTTCACCTCACGCTACAGCCACTTGATGGAAACATAAGGTTTTGACTCTTTTACCTGTTTGATATTCAGCATCAAACCTTGTTTGTTCACATAGTTTATTATTAGAATAACTAGTTACAAATGTTTAGTTTCTCACAGTGTGCTGTTTGTTGTATGAAGAGGATCCTGTCAATTGTTTAACTGTTAAGCTTGTGCATGCCTTAAATGTCCCATAGTTGTTATTGCATGAAATGCACATATGTTGGTCCATATGGTGATGCATTATCATGAGGTAGCTTCCATTTCTGTTAAATGTGAGGGGTGGCACTGTATGTGTTAATTGAGATTTTTTATCTTGTCCAATTGAAAATCATCATTGTCCAAGTATTGAGTGAACAACGAAATGCCGGGTGAGACTGGCCCTGGAGGTTTCCATTGTATGACCTTTTTATAGGCTTCCACAGGTTTGGGAATTTGATCAGGATCACCAGAGATGGCTACCTGTTGCTGAATTAGCTTTGCCAGAAGATAAGGGTGATCAAGTTTTTGCTGTTGAATGGGCACCAAATATTGGAAGGTGGCATACAGCTGTTCATTTCATGAATTTGTCCTTTATACATGAGATCCCTAATAGGATTTGGTTTTTCTGATTTGAGATTAGCTTTCAAGAGCATGGAATCAAAACAGCAAGGAGATAAAGCTAGATAGCAATTTATTGATGTGACAATTTTAGGTTATGATTAGTCTACTTTGTCATAAGGCACTTGATCCAACATTTCTGTTCCGTTCTTTTGACTTCTAAAGCAAGATTTTGGTTATGAAAAAGTTATAGGTGATTTAGATCTTGAAGCATTCCAATGCTTTCACCTATGTTAAATTTAATAATTTGAAATTGTGGAGCACATTAAACCATTTATAAAGCTGCAAGGACTACCATAGCACATTATCAGTTAGCCAAAACTACTATATGCTACCAAGACATGAGTCTGGACTTTATCATCTCACTGGACCTCAGATCCTTTACTTAATTGGTGCAATTGGAATAAGAATCAGATTAAAATATTCAAGTTTAATGATGGTGGATAAGAGCATTGTACTTTGTGCAGGCCATATGAAGTGATAGCAGTTGCAACTTGCAAGGGAATTTCGATGTGGCATGTCGGATCAAACCATGATCCTAATGGGAGGCTCTCCGTGGAGAGGGTTGCCTTGCTCTCAGGTCATAACGGCGAGGTACCATTTGCTAAAGCTTATGTACTCCGATGTCATTTTCCTTTCAGGTGTTAGGTAGCAATTCTGAATAGTGGTATGAAACTACTTGTGCAGCTTTTCTGGCTTTTGGGTGTGACATCATATTGCACTCTAATCCCAATATGGTTTTGCAATGCTTTTGTGTCCGTGGACCTTTTACCAATCTTTACAAATTTTTCTCTACTAAATCTTATTGTCAGTTGGCACGTATGAACTGTGAAATGTTTTTACATTGAATTGTTTATCCTTGCATCTTTAACCTCCAGCTCACCTGGCACACCAGTTATTTTTGGGTTGACAAAAACATTATATTTCTTGTATAGGTTTGGCAGATGGAGTGGGACATAAGCGGAATGACATTGGCCACCACCGGCAGCGATGGAGTTGTCAAGTTATGGCAATCTAACCTAAATGGGGTTTGGCATGAGCAGGCTCTATTTGAGCCAACCAGTTAGATTGCTTCACTGTTATAGATGCAGAATTTGGGTTTGCTCGTCTTTCTGACTCCTCTTGGATTGTAATTCTTGGATTCGAATTGGATTGGAGGCACTTGTGCTAATATTTGACTGTAAAATTGCAAATGTAGTTCTCACGACAGTTACATGTGGCTCCACAAGATGGTAATTACAAGAGCGATGATAATACCTTTAACCAGGCAACTGGAGAAGTTGGGACCATTCTGCTTTGTCCACTATAACGTGATCTACTTGATATTGGGGAAGAGGAGACCGATGGTCCTGATGGATTTGACGAAATTCAGAAAATTGGGATTTTTTCCGCAAGTGAAAGGCCTTGATTGACTTCAGGATTTCTTACTTATAATTCTTTCCATCTTATCACTCAATTCAATCCACCCTCAAACTGGGATATATATGTTCGAATACAAGGAGTCAAAGATCTTTTATTAGGCCAAGCCAATGCAAAAATAACGATACTGGAAAAAAAATTGGAGATAGCAAAAGCGAGAAACAACAGAAGGTAGAACTCTTTACGCGGAATGAATCGTCTACTTTTGACTTTTGACTACTTGAATCTTCTTACAAAATTGTTGTTGTGAATTTGTTTTGGAATTTTGTCTTTAAAGAAGGAAATGGCAATTTCTTGAACACCCTCAGTTTGTAAATTTTACTTCGGTTGACTGCAAGTGTGGTGCTGCAAACCTTGTAACACAATCACTACAAGCCCTTACAATTTCCTGTTGGAAGAATAGTTTACTAGATGCACAAACACTGGAAATTTTCATACTTTATCCCCCTTCTGTAGCAGAATATATATGCAGGAACCAAATGTTTTTGCCTTTTCAGATGATGCAAACAAAAGAAATACAATTAACCTTTAGTAAGGTTGAATTTAACCATTAACATTTAACGGAGACCATCAACAACGCCTTTGATCAATTCCAATTCCGCTATCCATCATCTCTTATGGCTCAACGACTTGTGCAAACTAGCTTAGGTAATGTAGTAAATTTTTTTCTACTTTCTACAAACAGCAATGAATTTATATCAAATACCAGTGTGAAACCGTCCTTCAAACAAGCATATTACTTGGGTAAATCATTTTTTACCCGCATGTGGTTTGGTGATTTATCATATTACCCCCCATAGTTTAAAAACCTATACATAGTCCCGTCACAGTTTGAGTTAAAGTATCATTATTAGTTTTTTTTTTTTTTTTGTTAAAACTAATGATCAATATTAAAAAATCAAAGCGAAACAGTTAAATTGACAAATTCACTTTCCACTACTATTTTTTCTCTTTTTCTTTTCATGTCTATTTTTTTTTATTTTTTTTTCCTTTGGGAAGATAAGAGATGATTTTGAAAGATTGTACTTTTGGCCTACTAAATCTTAACTTTCTCCAAATACAAAAAAGAAGAAAGGAAAAAAAATAGATAAATAACAAATAGAGAATACTATTAAAGATTTGGTTTAAAATCATACAATAATATTTTCATTTAAAGATTTAACATTTTCTATTTCTTATTTATCTATTTTTATGTCCTTTTCTTTCCTTTTTTTTTTTTGTATTTGGACAAAAAAAGAAAAAAAAGTAGTAAAAAGTTAATTTATTAATTTATTAGTTTGACTTTGACATTTAGTTTTTAGCCTAGACCATGGGTGGATTGTGTATAAATTTTTAAACCATATTGGAGTTATGTGGTAAAACATTAAATCAAAGTAAAAAGTAAGTTATCCTATTTACTTTTTCGATTAATCTTCTATACAATAAGAATGTATACATTGTCTCACATTGTATTGTATTATTAACCTAAGTAGCACCGCATGTATCATGGATCTGAAGGTGATAATATATATTCTATCAATATATATATAAGATTTACTCGTACTTTTTCGTCTTCCACGTAGTAATCTCATGAGATCGCACGAAATGTTTTTGAGCCAACGGCATAAATCTTATACATGCCTAAAATAAAGTATTAAGCTACTCCCATTAAAAATCCTGATGCCTGTAGGAGTCTAGCAAAACTGTTCATTGTATATCCACAGTCTGTATGTTTTACGTAATTAGTGCTTGGTGTCTGATTTTATCCTCAATTGTAAGCCCAACATCTGAATGCCCAAAATAATTGGGCTGAGCCTTCTTGTGTGTACTTGTTCCACCGACTACTAGAGCCTAGATATGAACAAGGATGTTTGTTTGATTGTTACTAGAACACCGGGATAGAAGCAGCGACCGTGCAAACATGTTTTAGGAAAGTTAGAATTCCAGAATCAGTAGGTATTCGACGAATCTGCTGATTTACATTGCATTGCACTCACACGTATCCCTACATATATGTATAGACACCTCCTCTCTGCCTCCACAAACTTTTCTCCCCATTCTTCTCTGTGATCAAGAAACGTTAAAGATGGTGAGAAAGAAAGTGGACATCGTGAAAATTGAGGATAAATCAAAAAGACAAGTGACTTTCACGAAAAGGCGGCAAGGGCTGTTCAAGAAAGCCAGTGCACTTTGCAATATTAGCAATTATGAGATTGGAATCGTCACTTTTTCCCTGGCCGGCAACATGTATGCCTGGGGACATCCCACAGTTGACTCCGTCCTGCAGCGTTACATGGCCTACAGGGCCCAGAAACCTGATGAAAATCATCAAGAAAACGAAACTTCTCCAGGCGATCACCATCAGAACAAACGGGAGGTGAGTCTGGCTTTGTCTTTATCACTACCTGCAGATGAAAAAGAGACTCCTAAAAGATCTGACGAAGAGAAGGCTGGTCAGGAGAAGGGTTTGGTGTTGAAGAACAACAAGAATAACAGTAGTAATCAAGAAGGGGAGAAGAGAGTGGAGGGGCATGCAGCAGCGGCGAAGTCAAAGGTGATGGCCTCATGGAATTTGCCAAAAGTTGATGATCTAGAGATTGATGAACTTGAACGACTTATGGCAGATATGGAAGAGATGAAAAAGAAGGTTGTTGATCGCGCTAATCAGATGAAAAGCAGTGCTGGTCGAGTTCCAAGTTCCTAGTCTGCCTAATTAGTTGGTACATATTTCGGGGGAGAAGATTTCAATCTTACAAGTCATTCAATTGTTAATTGCAATCGTTGGTCTGAAAGTCTACAATTTTTTTTTTTTTGGGGTTTTTGAAGGTTTGGTCATGTTTCAGCCAGCCATTGGCAGACAGGTATTTAGGTGAGTGAGCAGGGATCAGTAATTAGGACTTAGTAGTTAAATGGGGTTTTGTTTGAGTTCATAGGACGATGGACAATATTGCTGCATGTTCCTTTTCCCCTTTCTCCTCAGAATGTGGCACTTCTACGTTTAATTTTTCTTTGTGCCTTAATATGTGCCGGGAGCAAGATATGCACTTTGTCCGACTAAAGTTTCTTCTTTCCTACATCACAGGCGAACCACATTATAATGACCTTAACCGCACCGGCACCGGCACCGGCACCGGCCCAGGCACCGATTCCATTTGTTTCACTTGATTTTCACCAATAATAAGCAGTAGTAGAACTTTTCATATAAAAATTCTTTAATCATGTTGAATGACTTTGCCCGGAAAGGACTCGGCAATGTCTTTCTCATCTAATTCCAACCTTTGGGCTTTTGGCACCTGGGCATTTGGGCCTACTGGTTTCCCTCCGGCCATTTTAGTTCTCGAAAACAGGATAAGGCTCTGCTCATATCCAACACAATTTTCCTCCAAAAATAAATAAATAAAAAGACACAATTTTCCTCAATATCACCCTTTAATTTCCAACGCAGAACTGCAGGTACACAACTGTAAAACTACGCGTTGTGCAAAAATGATATCAGCGATGAACTCCGTACAACCTCTCTGGAGTTTGAAGAGCCCCAAATTGTCACTGGGTTCTTCTTACTCTTACTCACTTCGGCCTAGCGTTTCTCAGACAAATCTTGGGAGTAAAATCAAACGATCCAAGTTTGGCAGGAGATTCTTGGCAAATAGAGCGAGACTTGTAGTGTGTGGTGGGTTTCTTTTGCCAGTGGATCCCTGGGCACCTAATGTTGATTCACAAAGCATAGCTCCACCGCTCTTTGCTTTATCTCTTTTCCCCTACATTGGTTTCTTGTATTACATCACCAAATCCAAGTCTGCCCCAAAACTCACTCTTTTTGGATTCTATTTCCTGCTTGCCTTTGTTGGTGCCACCAGTGAGTTTCTTGCTCTTTTCCTGTCACTGAATTTCTTGTGTTTTCTTTGGGGTGTGAACATGAAGAAAGTTGCAATTATCCCTTTGTCTTTCCCCCTTTTCCGCGTATTCTTTTCAAAAGAAAGCCATCTATCATATTCATCAATACTTAATCCTTTTGCCAACTATAACTGTATTTACAAATAATCAAATAGTTCTGCTCTTTTGATTTCTAATTCCGATTGTCCTTCTTATCTATTATGACTATAACAAATCTAAACTAGGTATGAGTTGCTAGTGGCTTCTTAATGTTTTCTGGTTCAACATCTGGAATTAAACAATCAGTTCCCTGACTTGGTGTACCACTTGGAAAGTGAACAATGTGCGCTATGTTGAGTGAAGTTTCTTACCATTAAATTGACTGCAATTGCTTTTGCCATCCTATGCTTCATATTTTTGCTACCGAGAGCTACTATTCCACACCACTAACATTTTGCATCTTGGTTATTTCTGCCAGTCCCAGCTGGAATATATGGTAACTACTGTCCCTTATCAAAATTTTTGATGCAAATCAAGTACATCTTCCTCATAGTCTAAAATTGTCTAAATTTTGTGCTCTTGAGCAGCAAAAGTGCAATATGGAACTTCCTTGTCCAATGTAGATTGGTTGCATGGTGGAGCTGAGTCACTGCTGACTTTATCCAACTTGTTTGTTGTTCTCGGGCTGAGGCAAGCTCTTCGAAAGTTGAAAAATGCAGACGAAACCTCCTCTAGTTTGGCTTCTGGTATTGAAACGGAAAAGTCATCCAATGTCAAATTTTAAGAGAACGGACATTTTATATTGGATACTTATCCTTGCCAATGTTTATACGTAGCTAATTCCGTCACCTCTGTCTTTGGACAACTTTTGGCATACATTTGATCTAGTATTGACAGTCTGCTGTTTGCGAAAATCATGCAATTTGGTTGTGAACCTAATTTTCCAGGTTGATTCTGTATCGTGTTTAAATAATCATCCTGAGACAATATTAATGGAGCTGAAACCCCATCCACCCTCCAGAAAGGACAGAAGAAAATATTAATCATGTTACATTTTTCATATCAGGTACCGTAAATAGTGCCATGCGAAGAATTTTTGATCTCCTTTCCTTGGAGCAACTTTATCTTTTAATTCTCAAGCGCTCATGCACATAATTGAGCAATTATGCTAGCTAAAGAAAGGCCTATGAACACACCTAAACAGAAAAGAAAATACATATTAAATAATCTGTGTTCATGGTTTTGTTCATCTGAGAACTCTTAGCTTAATTCTTGGCAAACAAGAGCAACTTCTGTTCAGTGAAGGCCTGCAAATTGAAGGCAATATCCATGGATACCAACATACTAGGAAGCAGTTGGCGGCAAAGCCTTTGTCAAGAAGTTGTCAATCCAATGCGACTGGTTAGTGGTTAGTAAGATTCTTAAGCTTCTCAGGAACACTGGTCT